AAAATATTTTTTGTCATTTATTTCTTAAACTGTCCTTTAAATCGGCTCTGCATTTTTCAGATGTAAATTTTTAAACGCAGAATATGAAAAATAAAAATATCCCTTATAAAATATAATGAAAACTTTCGCCAGTTTGTTTCGCACCCCACTTAAGGGTTTCTATTTAATCGGTAATCTTTGTACAATCTATAAAGCACAGGGAAAGTTGTGCCCAGGATCGTGTTGCACGCTGAGTTTCCAGTTCCACTGAAAGAAAACAATAAACCCCCTGCTGCACAGTGGTTCAAAACTGGCATTAATTCACATCATTTTTCGCATAATTTGATTGATTGTTATTTTTTATGAAAGCTTACAATATTTGCAAGAGACCAGTTGAGCCTGATTTCTGAATTTTAATTTGATTATATTAAATTTTCTAGTGCAAAATGCACAAAAAGTAGCAGCTTTGAAGAAAATGTATTCTTCTGTTCCAGTTAATAAATGTTACAAACAAAAGCTAGTTGAAAATAATTGTATGGTTCTCCCAAAACAAAAAAATACACAACAAAATTTTAAAATGTTATAAAAAAATGTTCACCAAAATAAATTTTTTTTTTGGTTTATAGTAAAAATTGGTGGAAAAATGAAGGCTCCAGTGGATTATGAACATTGAATTCGAATTTTGAACCACTCTGTGCTGGCTTCGTCGTGCAGTATGAATTATGGTAAACGCATTTTGGTAGCAAAGGATGGCGAAGTCCTTGAAAAGGATTTGGCTTCATTTTTCGCTACAGCAGGGGAGCTTATACAATTAAATAATATAATTAAATGGTAAATATTTGACTTAAATTTCGATATGGGCAAGGTACTTTTATCATACAAGTTGTATGTACGTATTTCCAAATCACTTTGAAAAAAATGTCCTTTATTTTACGTTGGTTAATATGGTCATGGTTAAGCGTTTCTGATAGACCCAAAAGACATCGTAAATTCTTCCAAGTTTATAGGGCAATTCTGGAAACTGTCTTTCAACTCAAAACAGTCTTTAGAAAGAAAAAAAGTCTTTCGTAAGACAATTTTTAATTCTGATAACTATCTTGAAAGCTCATTTATGTATTCCGAAGGGCTAATTGAAAGATTTGCTAACGAGGAGGTCCTAACGTTAATCTGTTTGTCTTTTAGCAATAAGTTTTCTAAAAAGATAATTAAAAAATTATATAAAAGGAAATAAAATAAGGAATTTAATAAAAAAAACATTAAATAAAAAAATTAACAAAAATTAAGTAAGTTCCTAAAAATATAGCACAATTAAAGAAAGAATCTTTTTCCAACAATGAAATCTACGAATTAAAGGGAAATTAAAGGAAAAATAGAAAAAAATCTCATTAAAAACATATAGAATAGGCTTCTCGAAATTAAATGAAACTAAAAAAAAAATATGTTTAAAAACTGAATTAATAAGAAAAAAAGTAAGATTAAAAAAGAAAAAAATGTGTTCTTCAAATTAAATGAAACTAATTTTTTTCTAAAATAAAAAAAAAATGAAGAATAAATGAAATTCAAAAATACATAAAATAAGTTTTTAAAAATTAAATTTAATTAAAAAAGAAAAAAATCATAAACGAATTTCCGACAATTAAAAGAAATTACAACCATTTTTCTCTTTAAATACAAATTTAAAAAAGAATTAATTAAAAAAAAATGAAATATGTTCCTAAATATTAAGTGAAATAAAGAGAAACAATATTCTTTTAAAACAATAAACTCAAATAAAAATAAAAAATCCAGTTAAAAAAATTAGAGAACCTGCTCGAGGACTCGAACTTCTCATCTTTCGTAAGAGCTTTGCTCAGTGGAGCAGTGCTATGCAACATGAAAGTTGGCAAGGGAGCTTTTTTTTTGTAAGACTTTCGTGGCAGAATAAACAACATCGTTCAAATTATGTTGCCTACTGTCTTTCAATTGTCTTACGAAAGACTTTCAAATAACCAGAATTGCCCTGTTAATGTCATAAACTTTCTACTTGTCACAAAACACATTACCTACCCGCACAATCTTCGGGGAGGTGGAAGAGTAAATGTAACCAGAGAGTTCGCAAACGCCAGCAAGTGGTGCGTCGCTTGAGCGACGAATCTCATCCCAGTAGTGAAAGGCATCGGTGATCCATTGTCTGTAAATTGTTTTAGCAAATAGCAGAGCGATACTTAAGGCCCAACCACATAGAACTTCGACGTTGCGTTGGCGGTGGCACTAAATAAATTAATAAATTCAAATACAGCCACATTGCCGAAATTCGTAAAAGCTGACGCCATCACAAAGCAGAAAGATGGCCAACTCTCAACTTTTCCCGTGCGTCGACGTCAGCTGTTGCAAATAAATAAAATTATGTGAAATATGTTTCCCTTTTAATCAAATGCGAGCAAGAAATATATTTTTTCACGTAATTATTGATATGAAATATTAATTTATCTGTCGTTAGTATGTTAATTTAGTGGCCAAAGCATTCGCTGCCAAGCGTTCATTGTAGCAAGCATACTTTTAACGTGCGTTCTGTCAAATCAACGCCAACGCCAAAGTTCTATGTGGACTGGCCTTTATTTATTAAGCGACAGTGCAACAAACTGAACTGTGTAATCTCTGTGGTTGGTCCCGCAAAGCTGGTGCCTGGTCTGAAAATGCCCGCCGCTACAGCGCTGGTTGTATCTTCATTGAAACGATCAGCGAGAATTGTAATTTCCGCATTTGGATAGTTCCGCTGTAATTCCAAAGCTGTTGTCAAGCCAACAACACCACTGCCCACGATGCCGAAATGCATTTTTAAATAGTTATCACAATTAAATTAATTCTGGAATATGAACCAAAATACTTTTCGCTTATATACGTACATACATATGTATGTAGTAAATGTAATATCTACTTGTAAAAATTCAAGTAGCGTTCACTTCCCCACGTTCAACGAAAACAGCTTCGCTCGCGACCGGCAACTGAATGATAGCTTTTGCTTATGTACGTATCTCATCCAGCAGGCAAAGATAGGGTACTCTCTTCAATTTGATAACGTGCACTCTTTCACATTTGCTCTCTGCTAGTTTATTTGATATATGAGCTTCGAAATTTTTAAGAGCGCTACTTGGGACACCTTGGCACTCTCTTCAGCACTCATACCTAGAATATATGCTTACCACCTACTTGTCTTTTGGTGTTGTGATAATCTTATCGGTCACTTATTATTTGTGATTTTAATATGTTTCTACAATTTAAATTGGAGTGTATTTTAATATTCAGAAAAACCACGGACTGATCCGCATCACATTTCCTTCGACTATTCACTTACCGAATTGTGTTTTTTTTGTAGCTAAATAGCTTAACAGTCTATATGTATTCATATCCAGAAACGGCCACCATTTAATGCAGATTTCGTAAAATTTTTGAATAATAAAATCATATCTCAACCGACTTTCGTTTCCAAGTAGGTACAGGAAAACGAATAGTGCATAGTGTCTCTGCTAAGGAAGAGAGTAATACCCGCCGAATTGGGTTCCAAAGCAGGGTCATATATGCATCCCACAGTTCCAAATCAGGGCCATATATGCATCCCACAGAAGCGAGTTCTACCACCGTTATTATGACTCTAGTGGCTCACGCCGACAGAATGGGTCAGTTTTATTCGGTCCTTATGTTACTAAAGCTCTTTTTACGACTTTAGTTAGACCAGTATTAGAATACTGTCTATTGCTACCAAGTTCATTCAGAGAGGATTGCATCAATTCAAAAACAAATCCTGCTTTTTGAATTGCGTGATTTTAACTGGGCTTCAGAGTACAATCTCCCACCTTACTCTAGTCGTTTAAAACTCGTTAATTTACCTTACCTTGCAAGTCGTCGAAAAATGCTAGGTGTAATATTTATCGTAAAATTAATGACAGCCTTTTGTCTGAAGTAAAATTTAATATTCTCTCTAGAGTATCCAGACACTCTCTTAAAAATACAATGGCCACTACACTTTCGGCCTCTGTTCTTAAATGCATATAAAACTAATTTTTAATTAAACGAATAATTTCGTTGTTTATAGAAAGATTTTAACTCTCATTCCAGTACGTTTGACATATCGGACTCAATTTTTACTTCAAAGAAAACTATCCTTTCCTCTATCCATGGCGGAATTATACCAGGTGAAGTAATAAAAGCTAAAAGAAAGATTTTGAAACTGCCTTATATGAAAAATTGCTTTTAAAATTTGACTATAAGGTAGCCGAATGTCACAAAATAAAGCGAGAAAGCTGTTTTATTACTTCACCTGTTTATTGCGCCATGTCCTCTATGAATAATTGAAATACCATCTTTAGCATATCCAATCAGCTGATGAATTTGATTCTGAGCTGAATAGTTTTAGATCTCGACCTTAACAAACTACGGTTTCCACGACTTGGCACAAAAAAAAAGCGTGTACGTACGACATGCGGACTGCGCCCTTCGTTTTGGTTGGGCGGGAAAAGATGGTACATAAAACTGTTCTTTCTGAAATTTTTTTATTGAATTTTTCGTTCAATCCGCTTTGCTTCTGCACTTCACAGATGCCTTTTCATGGATCGAAAAAATATTAAGGAAGCATAAAATTACCGTTACAATGCATCCTTGTTTTATTGTGATTTTTGTAAGTAAGTATAAGATCAAGAGCCAGAATCATAGAAGATTATTCCAAAAGTATCAATATAACGAGCTGAGTCCATATCCGTCCATTTGAACGCAAACTAGTCCCTCAGCTAAAGAGATATCCGACTAAAATTTGGTTCAGGAGCGTATTCGTTTACAATTTTTTAATAATTTGCCGGACCACTACAAAAATATAGCTCTCGTTCAACTGATTATTCAGATGACATTTTTCAACATTTTTGTCATTTATTTCATCCCCATGCCGTAGGGTACCGAATCAAAAGCACTATACTATATAATAAACACCTTACTAGAGTAAAATTGGAATAAGACAACAGAATGAATCAGTTGGCAGACACAACGATACAAAAATGCTGGAATAAGATTATGCCCTTTTATTTCTAAACTATAATTGATGGAAATTTACAGCATGCGTAAACACGGTTAATTGTCGAATAGGGACTAATTTGCGAAACTAAGTCATATTCATGAAGTATAGTTTATGAATAAACGATTTCCATTCTTTACCGTAATTCTGCGGGTTGCATTTACGAACTGCAGTGCCATTGCACCAAACAATTAAAAATAATTAAGTTTTTACCTTAATTAAATATTTATTAGAATTTTTGTGTGGTTTAGTGAATAATTTTCATACTTCGGTTGAATCATTTATGTCTTTTAAAAATACGTATTTTAAACTTATGTCGTAGTTAATATTAGAATTCGACCGAAGGTAAATTTTTCGGCCGAAGCAGAAGCCGAACGTTCGGTCGGACTCTATTTAATATACTCAAATATGCGAATACTCCTTTTTTAATAGTAATTATTTTAATTGAGACCTAATTTATACGAATTACAAGTAATTCACAGTTTCTAGAGTATCCATTTATGGTGTTACAAACTCGCCAAATACATCATAATGTGGTGAAACATAAAAAAATTAAAATATCGAATGTAATAATATTTTATGTATGACTACTTGTGGTTGTAATGTTCTAGTTTTTATTGTAATATATATCATCCAACCTTTCAGCCATCCATTTAGGTCCACGTTTTCGGCATACTAAATGGTCCGAACCGCTTATGCTCGTCCATAGCACGAACAGCAAAGTAATACCGTTGACCTTCTTGTAATTGTGGCAACGTGACCGCCATTGGTAGTGACATTGCTTTCACATCGCCGAAATGCCACCACGAATCAACCGCTGGTGGGCCGGAGGTCTCTTGGTAAGCATAAATTTGATAAAGCACACATTCAGCAAATCGTTCCATGGAATCCTCCATAGTCCAAGAAATGACAATGCTATTCGCAAGATTACTAATACGTATGGTAGGTCTGCGAGGTGTCAGTTTCCAGTCGGGATTGAGGGGTTGTGGCGGTGTATTAGGCAGCGGCGCAGGATGGCTGTATCTGCATACGGGCGGCGTTGGCGTATTCGCTGGACTGATGTGTACGCGCGTAATGCTGGTGGCGGAAGGCGGTATGAAGATGTTTGACATGAGTACACTGCGGTTGGTTTTTGTTGCTGTTGTAAATATTTATTAAAGAAATTGTTATTATTTACATAATTTAATTTCAGGCGCAATTCCAAGAATCGTAAACTTACCCGTAATAGGACTCTGTTGTCGTATACCACCTACTGGAGCTTTCTGCTGGTTCATGGGCATGCCGGGTATCGGTGGTACAGAAGGATTTGCGCTCATTATCTGTGAGTTGATGTCAATGTTGGTGTTGATGATACTGCGCTGGCGAACTGGTGGTGTTGCAGTAGCAGTACTAGCCACCGCATCTTCGTCTGTAAGATTAATATCTGCTTTCTCCTTCAGTTTAGTCGAAGTTATTGTTACAGTATCCACTGCTGGTGAGGCTTGATTCAACTGGTTCATGCAGTCATCCACGGATGCATTAGGCGATGTGCTTGTTGTTTCGCCGGGCGATGGGAACTGTGTCGGTTGTTGGACTAACACAGTGCTAACAGACTTTGGCTGAAGCTTCCGCCTGTTCAAAGAAAAAATTAAACAATTTACTTTTGTGCCATTGGAAGTAATTATTTACTTTTTAATGGGCATTTTCTTATCTAAAAAAAAAAAAAAAAACATATAAAAACAAACAATTAGCACGCTAGGCCGAACTTCTCCTTCAATTGGTGCTGTGCGCCTTGACTAAATTATAAAATGGAGGATCGGCGACCGGTAAACTACTCAGTGTGTCTATACCATACTGCAGAATTGAAACTTCTCCCGATTCATTTCTCGTTAATAAGCATTACCCTTGCGTTGTATCGGCGTCCAGTTGCTGTCGCATTAGTTTCTTCCTCTCTCTCCATTCGCGGTTACGTTGCACGCTTGATTTGGCAACTGGCTTGGTAATACACACGCCTGCACGCTTTCTTTCCCTATAATTTTCGCTCCGCTCTGCCTCAGTTAGCCTCTTCAGCTTTTCTCTCCATAGTCTTGATCGCTCCGTAGAAGTTTTTGCTTTACTTGGAGTTGATGTATTCGGCTCTTGAAGATCTTTTTTCAAATAGGAGTAAGATTCATTATGTTGTTGAAGCTGTTCTGACAGGAATTGCTGATCAATGGAAAGATCTTCTGTCAAATCGGAGACAGTTTCATTATTCACTAGTAGATCTTCTGTCAGGAAGGAGCCAGTTTCATTCTGCATTGAATAATCTGTCAAATCGGGGACAGCTTCAATCTTCACTGGAAGATCTTCTGACAGGTAGGAGTCAGTTTCATTCTGCATTAAAAAATCTGCAAAATCGGAGGCAGCTTCATTCTTCACTGGAATATCTTCTGTCAGGTAGGAGTCAGTTGCATTCTGCATTGAAAAATCTGTCAAACCAGAGACAGTTTCACTTTTCACTGGTAGATCTTCTGTCAGGTAGGAGTCAGTTGCATTCTGGCTTGAAAAATCTGCCAAATCGCAGGCAGGTTCAATCTTCACTGGAGTATATTTTGTCAGGTAGGAGTCAGTTTTATTCTGCATTGAAAGATCTGTTAAATCGGAGGCAGCTTCTTTCTTCACTGGTATATCTTCGGCCAGGTAGGAGACAGTTGCATTCTGCATTGAAAAGTCTGTAAAATCGGAGACAGTTTCATTCTTCCCTGGAAGGTCTTCTGCCAGGTAGGAGACAGTTTCATGCTGCATTGAAAAGTCTTTCAAGTCGGAAACAGACTCATTCTTCGCTGGAAGGTCTTCCGAAAGGTAGGAGACAGTTGCATTCTGCATTGAAAAGTCTGTCAAATCGGAGACAGTTTCATTCTTCACTGGAAGATCTTCTGTCAGATAGCAGTTAGTTTTATTCTGCATTGAAAAATCTAAGGCAGCTTCATTTTTCACTGGAACATCTTCGGTCAGGTAGCAGATGGTTGGATTCTGCATTGAAAAGTCTATCGAATCGCAGGCAGCTTCAATCTTCACTGGAGTATCTTTTGTAAGATAGGAGTCAGTTTTATTCTGCATTTCAAAATGTGTCGAATCGGAGATAGACTCTTTCCGGTGTTGCTGCGGTTCTAACTGGAATTCCTGGTCAATAGCCATCGCTCTTGTTCAATAATCTCTGGCTCGCTCTGCTGGAGTAATTGCCCTCCACAGCCTAAACTATTTTATTGAAAAACAAAAAATCATTTTTAAATGTAAATGATTACAAGAGAGAACAAAAGAAATAATAGGTAATTTCTATAAACTTTATTACTTATACCTTTTACTCTTGAAATTGTTCATTGCAGCTGTTGCATCTAAAGAAATCCTTAAAATATCGACCCTTAGAGTGCCCTGGATCGATTTCTTTCTTCCTTTTTATCTTTTTTTTGTCTATACCTTGTCGCCGTTTCCCTTCACCACAGTCGTAAGCTAAAGATGAATTTTATATAGACGTGTGCGACGAAATCGTGAGAGATAAAAATTATTTTGGATAGATAGATTCCTGGGCCAAAATGGCGTAAACCCTGAGAAAACTGACCTTAGAATTTTCACAAATAAAACAAAATTATCTAATTTTTTACTAAACTAAGGGTGCGAGCTAGATCTGCCAAACAAAGGGAAAAATGTTGAGGAGCATTCAAGGAAAGCCTCGTTGCCTCCGAGAGAATATTAGGAAATTTATGGGGTTTAAAACCAAGGATGTACACAGCTATAGTCTGACCCATACTCCCTTCTGGGAGCTGGTCTGGCGGCCAACCCGTACTAAGGATGACGTTGTTAAAAACCTCAGATGAATTTAAAGGCCCGGTTTTGAACTATGTGCTCTGCGGCTCTGGAAGGAAAGAAAATTCGGGCTCTGTTCCACCACGAATGCGAATGCGAATGTTGGGAGTAACATTAAAAAAGCTATAATCAACTTAAGTCATCGTTTTTATTACTTAAAAATTTTGTAATTTATTAGAACATTGATCTTATACAGTGTTTTAATCTGGTAGTCAAAGTTCAAAAGGGGCATTTCATAAAAAGTAATTTTGCTGCCTTTTCTTCCATGAGGCGATTTCTTAGAGGCTCGCTTATAAGGCCGGCTGCAATAAACAATTGCTCACTTGGAACGCTGGTGGGTGGAGCGCTTAAATATTTGCTGGCCAGATCTGTCAATTTGTCATATTTTAGTTTAGTTTTCTACCGATCGAGAGGATTTTTACCGAGATCAGCTCGTTTTTCTTTAAGCCTTCAATTGAGCTTTAATTTCAAATTTTTTAATGTCTCCAGATTCTACATCCGAGCCTTCGCTTTCGCATAACGAATGTGAATGCAAATATTCGCAACATCCCTGGTACATATGTACATACATTCATATGCTAGACGCTTTGTAAAGAATGAATATTTCTATGAAACGAGGAAATAATAGCAATAGTCATCAAGAATTTATTAGGAAAGAAACCTAATCAATTATATAAATAGGCAATCATGTTTCCTTTACACCCCTTTTACGGCTAAACTGTACTTCTAAGGTATAAACAATTAAATATCATTAGAAAGGTATTTTGACGCTGATGTGCAGGCAATTTTTTAAATTTCAAATTAGTTTAAAATAGAGCGAAAAAATCAATTCAAAAGTCACACCAATACCAATGCCATACATGTACAAGGTTGGGGCGGAAATGCCTCCTAAATGTATGCTTTAATATTGATAGTGAATTAAAGAAACGTGCTAAGCAGCAGCTTAGGAATAAGATGTATGTATGTATGTATGTATGTACATGAATAGATTAGCCTCAAACAAGGATAAGATAATTTTGAGTATGGAGAAGAAGAAAGGGATAAATACAGAAATTAAAATAAAAGTAAAGAAACCTAAATATAAAGACAAAGAGGAAAGAAAATTTAAATACCTAACCTAATAACAATGGTGGGGGTGAATATGTAAATGAAGAAAAGAATGGACATATTTAGATCAGGATAAAGGAAAGGATAAAGATGAAGAAGAAGATGAAGACCAAGACGAGGAAGAAGATGAAGATGAATATGAAGATGAAGATGAAGATGAAGATAAAGATAAAGATAAAGATAAAGATAGAGATAGAGATAAAGATAAAGATAAAGATAAAGATAAAGATAAAGATGAAGATGAAGATGAAGATGAAGATAAAGATGAAGATGAATATGAAGATGAAGATGAAGATGAACATGAAGATGAAGATGAACATGAACATGAACATGAACATGAACATGAACATGAAAATGAACATGAACATGAACATGAAGGTGTAGATAAACATAAACATAAACATTAAAAGCGATAGAGACAAAGATAGAGAGGAAGAAAGTGATAGGGATAAAAAGGAAATACAACTGAAGAATGTGCGATGTTATATTGTGATGTGTTATGCTACATATGTTATGTTATTGAATCTAATGCTATTCTGTTATGTTATGCTAAGTACTAAGCTAAACTCCCCTCCACTTAACCCATTCCAACAAATTTTATTTCAGCTCAACTCAACTCACATAAACTATCCTTAATTTTAGCGGTTGAATTTCAACCGCTGGGCGAACACTAGTTACTTTAATTTCATAAACATTAGTTTAGAAAAGTATTTAAATTAAACAAAAAAAAATGTTCTTTTTAAAAGAATAAACTTAAAAAAATATATATATATTAAAAAAAAAAGAAAAAAAAAATTAAATACAACATTTCTCAAAATAGTGAGGGCCGCGAATCATTTTCTACTGCCTCTCACGTACAGGCTCATCGCGTTATGAGCTGCTTCCCTACAGCTAACATACGCATTTATTTTTCCCGAAAACTCAGATAAGGGATTCCTGACACACTATATTTTCATCTATTGTTTTTGCTACTACGCGTATTCACTTCTAACTTGTTGTTAGCGATAAGTCGCGTATTAAGGTCAACTATCAAGTCACCGTTTGCCATATTTCATTTTTCTATGATATTTTTATTTTCACAACAATTTTATTTTTATATTCGTGATCCCTTCTAGGAAAGGATGCTCTTCTATTCTGGAGGGTCCGGTTTTCGGAATCGCAGAATTGAGCTGAGTTATGGAGGTCTTTTTTTCTTTAGTTTATCGGCTGTACAAGCCTTGAGTTATGTTCTTTTTTTTTACTTTTTGACGAATAATTTGGCGTATTTTTTAACTTTATGTGGCCCCCCACAATATTCACAGTAATGTAATTTATTATACCCGAGCGCACTTGTGCACAAGGGTATATTAATTTTGTTCACATAACGGTTGTTTGTAACAGCCAAAACGAATCGAGATAGATATAGACAAATGTATACATAAATGATCAGGATAAAAAAAGAAATCGATTAAGCCATGTCTGTCTGTCCGTCCGTCTGTCCGTCTGTCCGTGTACACGATAACTCGAGCAAAAATTGAGATATCTCAACGAAATTTGGTATGTAGGTTTCCCTTAATCCAAGGTAGGTTGCTATTGAAAATGGGCGAAATCGGACTGCAACCACGCCCACTTCCCATATAACGGTAATTTCCAGAAATACGAAAACTGCGATATTTTAGTAACTACTGAAGATAAATCACTCAAAATTGGTATTTACAATAATTTTTTGACAAAAAATAATAATATTATACATTTTTGGAAAATGGGCGTAGCCACGCCCACTTATGGTTACATGTGTATATCTTGGTAACCGCTGTACCAATTTCTACCAAACTTAGCACAGTTGTCGGCATTCGTACAGCATACAAAATCGCCTAAAATTTTTAAAATCGGACGATAACCACGCCCACATCCCATATAACGGTAATTTAGAGAAATACAAAATCTTCGATAAATCAGTAAATATTGAAGCTAATTTATCCAAAATTGATGATTGCAACAATTCTTTACCAAGAAATACGTTTGTGATAAATTTTTGGAAAATGGGCGTGGCACCGCCCACTTATGATCACATATATGTATCTCAGTAACCGTTCTACCAATTTGTACCAAACTCGGTGTGGTTATTGTGCTTGCCACATATAAGCAAACCGTTGAAAATTTTTGAAATCGGACTAAAATAACGGCCGCTTCTCATATAACGGTAAATTTCAGAACTGCTTGAAACTTCAAAATTTCGAAATCTAAGGACTCTAATTTACTCAAAATTGATACGCCCCGGCTTACCATATAGCCGTAGCTTTCGGTAAGGCGAAAAACATATATTTAATACGTGCGCCGGGTATTTAATGTTCGGCTCTGCCCGAACTTAGGCTTTCTTACTTGTTATATTTAAACTTAGTTGGAGTATTTCCCATATATGTATCTAAGTTAATACGTGTATATATTTATATAACTTACTCCTAAGCTGTTGATAACCTTAAATCCAGACTCCTATCCTTTGAGCTGTTGCAGGTTGCTGGTACTGCATGGTGAAACGAATACAGAAGGTGGCGCTGATTGTGATACCGTTAACACTCTCTTGAAAATTTTGACAGAAATATGATATCATAGGAGATTTTGTGTATTGCCTGTGTGATGTACATACTGATAGATCTCACACAGCTCTTTATTCACGAAAAAGTTCGTTCGGGTTTTCTAACACGATCACTCGTTTCATTTAAAAAAAAAATCGGTTCGACTGACTTTTATTTAAAAAATTTTCGATACGAACACTTTTAAAATGTAAGCAGGCCCCACGTTGGACGCCACTTATGTTTCGTTCTTTAGGAAACTTTAAAAATATATATTTCAATCCGCGGCCTCGCGGACAACAAATAACACAAACTGAGTTCGTTTGTGAAATATGCAAAATACAGAACTGGACTGCTTCTTATTTCTCATTTCAATCCATATTCAATAATAGAAGGTTGGATAACCTGGCAATTGTCTCGCTCTCGCATTTATAGGGTCCTGTCACACGGTTCGTATTTATTGACGTGATCCAAGTATCGCGATATTTATTGACGGTGTAGCATGCAGTATTGCTGGATCGCAATCTTTAAATGCAAGAAATATAATAATTTTTAAGACTCACTTATATGCATTATATCAATTGCATCTTTACCGTTTGTATATTTCTTCATATAGTCCCTTTCAACAAAGGATTTGTTTGAATTCCATTAATTTTGTTTAATATACACCGGAATTTCAATAAAACCATGGTTTATTCTGAATGTTTAGGAATATTTGTCGATACGATTTTTCTTTGGTGAGAATTTTAAGTGAATATTCATTTGTTACATTTTTAATATCTATATGGCCATAAAAAGTTAATTCATTGTCTATTGTGTAGATCAGTGGAAAATTCTTTATATATTTAATTCAATTTGTATATAAAAAAACGCATTTTAGCACTACCAGACAACTTTTCCAACTACCTTTTCACAAAAGGGGATACAATTGTTACCCGCATCTCTTTCCTTCTCAAATGCAACCTTACAACGCAGTCGATTGACACAAATGTCAATATTTATCCAACATTGTGTTATTGAATCATGATCAGAACTAGCGTAGAACCATGATGCAATAATACAAGGCTGGCAGCTGCTCGCTCTGATTCCGCCATATTGACTGCCTTAGGTGAAACGGTTTTACTTCTTCAATAATTCCTTGCCTAACAATATAGTTGAATGTTGTTTATTTCTTCTCTCCATTCTCTGGCAATTGTCTCCCAGTACATTACTTTGCAGCTAGTTTTTAACCGGTTCCATTTTCGAAAGTGTTTTTTTATAAGACGTTTTTAATATTCGATTTTTGCAAATTTTTGCCGTTTTTTCTTTTCTTTGAATCGAATCCTACTGAAAGAAGTCTGATGAGGAAATGTGGTGATTTCCGAAATAGCTATCACTTCTACCATTTTTTTCAAATTATTGTTGCTTTTCCACAATAAGTTTTCATTAAAAAACGGCCTCGAGCTCGATAAAAATTGTTGAATATAATTGTTACAAGGCCATAAAATAACAAATTTTGATTTTCCGTAAAAATATGCGAGTACCGGTTCGTCAGGTCTTGTTGTTGTTGTAGCAGCATACAAATTCCCCAAAGACTTTTTGGACTTTGGAGTGACAGTCCTTGGCCAGATATAAATCTGGGTCGTTCCGGTTACGTAGACCCGACTGTCGTGGGAACGTTTGTCTTGAAGTCTTGAAACTAAATGCATCTTTTAGAGAATTTCATGCAGTTTTGAACATATAATTTGATCGTTTCGCGCGATTTTGCAAATATATGTAATTTTCGATTTTCTTAACGTTTCCATTTCCAGCATCTTTTGGCGATTTTCGCGAAAATAAATTTCGTACAATGCTAAAACTATCGTAAAAATTGGCAGTAGTGAGAATATATAAACGCACCTATGTAATTTTTAAGCATAAACAAAAGTTCCAAAGCATTTAATGATTTGATTTGATCCATTTTATTTTGGCGAGTTATGGCCGTTTAAGTTAGCCAATCTTCGCCATATTTTGCTTTTAGTTTTCTTTGATGAAGAAGAGAGCACAAACTAAATTCCATCGAAATCGGACGAAATTTAATATTTCCGCCCACAAGTGTAGGAGGCGTGGCAATCAGCCCAACTTTACCATATCTCATAATTCTCTATTCCTAAGTAAAATTAGAGCACATGTCAAGTTTCAGCGGAATTGGTTAACGTTTACTATTTTTTCCAGCTGCCCCCATGTAGTCGAAACACTGTGCGATGCAACGATGCTTGAGTCCGAGGTCTTCTCGCTGAGCTAGTTTCATATTGTACGAGAATTGACGATTTTTACACTTACGCCGCAAGTTTCAACTGTACCGATCTGCAGCCGTTTTGCACCAGTTCAGAGATAGTTCTGAAATATGTAGTTCGGACCTAGCGCTTGGCCAGACTGTCTCTAAATTTTAGTGCAGGGTATGTATACAACAGTGAATTCGTGTTTATTTAAGCTCCTGAAAACAGAAATATCGGCAAAAAAGTGAGACACGAATGGTGTATATGGTGAATCCACTCCGCGTCGAATGTAGTAGACGCGCACAAACGCAACGCGTGCTATTCATTTAAAAAGTTTTAATTTTGCCAAATAAATTTTATAAAAACGCGAAATTTTACTGCAATACACACGAATAAAAGTGTCAAATACAGCTGTTTCTGTCGCCCAACAGTGGGAACAGATAAGTTAGATCAGCTGACTACTAAGTGATCCCACCAAACATCTCCACAGGGTGTTCAGTGACATAATAAAATTTATAGTTAAATAAACAAACTTAATAAATAGATAGTTGAACACACTTAAATAAATTAATGTAACGAAAATAAATTAAAGTAAAATAAAGTAAACGGAAATAAATAAAGTTAACTTAATTAGGCATAAATGCGCAATACTACCAAATCTCGAATTAAAAAAATTCATACGGGGATCGATAGAGATCATTGAGGTGAGTGTAACGATGTAATTTTTTTTTTGGGAAACAACAACTACAACAATTATTAAAGGTCAAAGTTCAAATTAAGCATTTTCTCAAATTAATATTTCTCGAAAACCTCTTCAAGGAATTGGACAATTTTGATATCATTTGATAGAGAATTTAATTCTCTTTAATTTGTATACATATTTATTTAGCGCTTACGCAGAAAGGTGTTCTTTGCAAAAGGTGTTCAGCGCCTTTTCTTCGCAACACAGAAAGAGAATT